GCCGACAACGTCTCCGTGATCGCCTGACGAAACTGTAACTGTTTGAAAAGCAACACTTGCACGACGGCGCGTAGTGGTAACCGCTCGTTTTGTGCCGCGTGTGTGCACGCTTCAAGCGTTAGTTTTTGACAATCTAAAACTCCGCATAGCTTTTCCCGCTCCGATTCTGGAATCCAAGGATGCGCCTGTTACCAAAAAAGAAAAAAAATTAATCAGCTCCCCTTATCTATTTATTCTTAAGATTTAATCGATTTTCTTTTGCTACTTATTGTACCTTGAGGTACACATCGACAGCTCTGTAAAGCCCGTCATCGAAGTTTCTAGCTTGCTCAGGCAGGGAAATGGCGAGATCATAAAACTTCCCCGGCTTCAAATTCGCGTCGGAAGCGATCTCCGAAAGGTAACCGTCGATTAGTTTTCCGACAACCATCCACGCCAACTGTCCAACGCTGTTATTATAGACATTACCTTCAGTTACTTCCGCGGTTCTCTCCTCTAATTCGTCCAAAAAATAACCTAAAATCCTCTCAATGCTATCAACGTCATAGAGCATTTCGTTAAGATATGAGTAGCTTGGAATCAACAAATCGTCTAGTGTAGCTTGCTCCAGCTGACTTCCGATTTTTTTCTCTACCGCGGCTTTGCTAGCTTCCGATACGTTTAAAATATTCGCAGTTCGTAACAAACCGAACAAAAATCTGGTTGCGGTTGGTGATCGGGAGCGGGTCTTTTCTAACGGTAGGTTCGAGATGATAGTTTCCAAAAGCTCTCTCTGTTCACTCTCTGAAACAACAGAGGCCGACGACAAAGACGGCGGCGGTGGCCAATTCGACCGCGATGAGAATGTACTTCTTAGTGTAAGATATAAGGCATCTTTCGATGATCTCTGGACTCAGATCTCGCGTTTTCAATGTTAAAATCAAGCGTTTAAACAATGGCAAACTCAGCAATGCCAGATTTTCAAACCACGACTCTACATTGTTCGTTCGAGCTGGAACTTTTCGTCTAAAACAGGTTTCGAGTCCATTCGGTAAAGCTTTGCTTGAAGCTCCTTTGGCTTCGACGATTCCGTTATTCACTGGCCAGCCAAACAGAGTCGGATCCACAGAAGAAGCTGTCGAAGCAATAGAATCAATCAATCTCTGAACAATGCCTAAAGATTCCGCAAACGACATCACTGATTCGCATGATTTAAACGCTTTGATCGATTCTTTAAGGCTTTTAAAAACGGATAGAGAAAGGAACCGTTCGGTTTTGGAAATAAGGTTATCTTCGGAGTACTCATCAGTCATTTCCAGAAACTTGGAGGCGCAACGGAGAGGAACAACGGTGGAGGAGGAGAGATCGATCTTTACGCCGTAACAGAAATTGGCGGCAGTTTCAAAACTTTCCGAACCACCAGGGAAATCAGGTAGAGATATTTGACATTCATCTTCTTCTTCTTGACAATCCTCTTCTTCAATTTCGGTCTCTGTTTCACGCTGCTTTTGTTTAGTAACAGTTGCAGTTGATGATTGCCTACCTTGCTCTGCTATTAACTGATCAAGTTTTCTACTTTTAGACATCAAATGAAACTGAAAAACAAAACCCAAAAAGGCATCATTAAACTGGAAAAACAAAATATTTTAGTGACGGAAAAAACATGAAAATTTCAAAGCTTTGCTAACCTTATGGAGATGAAAAGTTATGCCATCAACTTCAATTACAACGTCACTTGGTAATCCAGTGGCACAAAACCTGTAAACAAAAAATGAGTAGAAAATATTAAATTTTATTTTCTTGAAATATTGAGAAATATCAAGTTGAAAAATGCAAATCTAACCATGCTTGGCCTTTAGAGCTTGGCTTTTCAGCTTCCATTTTTCTTTTCTTCTTTGCTTGTTGAAGTTAAAGGTTTATGGCTGTTGATGGGAAAAAAAAAGAACTAAAGCAGAAGCATTTAGGGTTCTTCGTTCCTTAAGCAGAGTTTTCAGTTCTGGAGAAGAGAGAATTCTATGTGGTATTTACCTGGCTTACGTACTTTTGCTTTTGAAATGGAAGACCATTAGTGTATGGAAAATATATGTTTAGGAAGAAAATGAATTAATAAATAAAAAATTGTTTAAAAATAACCAACATGGTTGAAACCTAAATAATTAATAGTAAGTATTTATATTATTTTATATAATCCGTTCTATTAATATTTGATTTTGATTGATATAACAATTATTATCATATATGTAGAAAAGTTCATGGATTTTGGTGTCTTCAAGCACATATCATCATTCTTTCGAATATATTTATTTAATGCACTTGAACACATAAAATATATTATGATATTAATAATATCAATTTAATTAAAATTTAATAAAAATATTTATTTAAAAATTACTTATGCTTTTGTTCGAATGATGAGTGAAAAGTATTTTTAAAAAAATATTTTGAACATTTATATTATTTAAAAAAAACAATTATTACTCATGTGAGTTGGTTCAATTAATTATCTACATTGATCAAATTTAAGTCATCGATCTCTGCACGACTGCACCTGATAGCTTTTGTGTAGAATGGCTACTTTTAACGATGTTGTCCGCACATTAATTATTCTCGAATTTAAATTTTAGGTTACCCTGGGTTAACATCAATTTTCTTTCATCAATGTCTGTACTCAGAGGAATTGATATTTCCTCAAATTTTTACCTTAACGTTGGAAGAAAATACTGAAAATTTGCATGTCTCGCTTTTACAAGTAATAAATTCATCGTTATTTTTTGGTCTTAGTTTCCTCATTTTGAAAATGCATGTATGAAAACAACTGTATGGGTTAGCTTTATTTATAGTAGTCTCTGCTTAGTTAAAACCACTCATCCATTAATTGATCGACTAATCATGAAAATTTATATTATTTTATCTTGTATGAATCCGAATTCTAATATTTGTATTAAAAATGTACTATCTTTTTACTTAATTAAAAAAATACTAATATATTAGAATATATACTACTTTGTAAGTATTTTAGTTTGATCAGAAAAAAAAAACATTAACATAAAAGTTGATATTATGGCCTAAAAAAATATGGCATGCTTCCAATGTCCAAAATTGATAAATTCATGACCAAGTTGAGTTATTTTCATGGTGGTCACCTTGGAGATATTCTGATAAGAGTGATTTCATTTGAATGAAAAAATGGAAGATTGGGATAAATCATTGAAGATAGATTTTTAAATGGATAAAAAGCATAAATTTTCTTTCTCCATTTTTGTCACATGGTTTGATGACAAAGCATTCGACAAAGTGCACAAAAGAAGGGTGGGTAGTACTCGTTTTCATAGTGGGTATATATTTAACAATGTCAGGACAATGGGGACTTTTCTTTTGGATGTATGAAATCTGTAATTCTGAATGTGGGTCATATAGTTGTTTATTTGAGGGGACGTATGCTTCCCACTACAAGAGAATTCCGATGCTACCTTTAAATCATCATCATCATCATCATCATCTAATCTCTTAAGATCTCAGAATCTCTTCACAAATTTGGTTTTGATTAATGACAGCTTGTTGGAATTTGGAACTCATCAGACAAACTGTTAAGGATTTGAGGTTAAAGACAAGAAGGCACAAAATCCATGAATCAAGTAGAAGCCAGCCAAAAAAGAAACAAAACCACATGGGACTAGTGGGGTTTAGTGTTTGAGTAGGAGAAAATATTTAATGGCACCCTGCACAAGAGAGTAACACCTTTGATATTTTAATCCATTACTCCATCCACCTTGAAAATATACAGAACGGTCAATAAAACATTGACAATTATCCGTTAGAGTTACATTCTTTATAAACACTCTAAAAGATAACCCTCTTTCTCTCTCTATCTATTGCTTTGTTTATTCATTGCCTTCCGACAAGCATCGGAAGCAGCACTTGAGAAGATTCGTGGTTGCCTGCAAAAAAGAAAAGAAAGAAGAAGAAGAAACTCCAATTAATTATTTACAGTAATAGATATTCATGTTCTAATTAAATACAGTGGTGCTTGGTTGACAAGAAGATTAGGCTCAGATTTGTTGGTTTGTGGTCCCTTGCTAATCTGCATCTTTCCAGGTTAAGCTTTTTAAACCTCAATGATAACGTGTTAGTAATTTGCTGATTTGAATAACAAATGTTTTGAATTCCAACACTGCATATATGAGCGAGTACCCATTTTACCAATAAATGCAGATCATGACGGAGTTGCAGTTCTCCAGGTACATTATTTGTTGGATGGGGTGACAATGCTACGCCATGATAGGCGTCACACATAGAATTTGACACCAGACCAGTTTCCCCTAAAGAGCTAAATAAACTCAGACAACATTCTATACGAGGACAGTTTCTGAATAAGATTGAGGGCCATTCCTAACAACACATCTCTAAGAATGTTTGGTTTACACTTGTGCCCGATATTATACAGCATATAGACTAATTTGCGTCACCATCCCACTGGATCGTCCTTGTACTGTGCTAACAATGCTTGATACACTACAACTGATTGGCTATAGAAAGAGATCAGGAATCCACATCCGGTGAGGTACGATGGCTTTTTTTACAGTGGTAGCCTGGATAAGGCAGTTAAGATTTGGAGCATATCAGAACGAGCACCGCGGATCACTCAAGATCAGCTTGGATCCGATAGTAAATGTATTCCCTCAGGGCAATGTTAGCAATTGAAAACTTCGACATTTAATTCTTGAATGTGTTATTTTTTTCATTGATAGAAAATTGTTTGTATTTACAACGCCAACTTTGACATTTGCGATTCTTGCCAAGCAAGTAGCATCGACAGTTTGCAGGGCTAATTCTAAAGGAATACATTGACTTAGAATTTCTGTCCCTGCCTTTGAATATATAACATTCAAGTTCTGCAAAGGATCAAAGATTTCATTTTCCTTTAGAGTGACGAATGGTCCTTCTAGTTTGGATTCATACAGAGGATACACAAACATATAGCGGAATCAAAATGAACTTCATTAAACAAGTATATATATAACATTTATTCAACAATCAGTACCCCTGATTTCCCAAATAAAATCCAACTTCTGCTTATTTCTCCGCACTTCAATCCTACTTCATGGCTTGCTATTTGTTATTGACGTAATAAAAGAACAAAAAAAAATTAAAGGTTGTAAAGCTCAGGGCTAAGACGAGGCTTAAGGAGCACACGAAGAGGAGTGGCCTTCACATTTGCCAAGCTGGGGCTCTCCGTCATATCCACGGGTTTATTATCAGGCGTTTCCAATTCAAAGCAATGCAAGACGCTGGCCAGTGACAAATGAATCACTTGAAGAGCCAATGAGACCCCGGAGCATGCTCTACGTCCAGCACCAAACGGAAGGAGTTCGAAATTCTGACCCTTTAAATCAAGGTCCTTATGTGTTGTCAAAAACCTCTCGGGCTTGAACTCATTGGGATTGCTCCACACTCGCTCGTCGTGCTGAATCTGCCAAGCATTTAACAGCAAACGCGTGCCTGGAGTTACATGGTAACCGTTTGACAGGGTGCAGTCCTCCATGGCTGCTCGAAGCGCCAGTATAGGGCTCGGTGGGTACAACCGGAGTGTTTCCTTCAAGACTGCTTGTAGGTACACCAGGTTCTTGATATCAGACTCCTCCACATGCCTGTCTTTTCCAACATATGTAGCCAACTCTTCTTTGGCCTTCTTCATGGTATGTGGATTGTTAAGAAGCAAAGCCAGACCCCAAATCAGAGGGACCATGTTCGAGTCTGCTGCACCTAAAATTAGATTCTGCCAAAAATCAAAACAGAAGCTTATATCAGATACTTTTCTAGTTGTTTCTTGAATCTCAAGGTTCAGTTTGTAATGTATTACTTACCAGACAAGTTGCCTTGGTGATGGTATCCGCATCGACGTCGAACCCATTGAGCTTTGCATCTTCAGTGACAGTGAGCATCACATCCATGAAATCTTGATCTTCCTTTCTATCACCGTTACTCAATCTCTTCTTTTTGTGCTCATCAAGCCAGCCTTGGACGAAAACATCCAATTCCTCAGCTATCCTTTTCATGCCTTTCTTATGTCCTCCGACGTCCAGCCACCCAAGAAACGGGATTGCATCAGACAACACAAACGCCCCAAAGAGGTGAAAGTATTCTTTGATGGATTTCTGGCATTGACGTGCCTCTCCTTCATCGGCGGAATGGGCGGTAGCTCCATAGTATCTTTTCCCCACCACAATTCTGAAAGCCATATTATGCGTCAGATCAGCAAACCATTGCTTCATGTCCACCAAAACACCGTTTTCATTACCGCCGCCTCTCGTCGCCCAAGTCTCGTACAAGTCTTTAATCCCAATATGCACCTCCGAAGCTCGTATCTGCTTGAAGTTGAACATGTCGAGGCGGTGGTTGGAGAGAAGCTCGAGGGTTGTTATCTTACGCATCTCACGCCAGTACGATCCGTAAGGAGCGAACCCGAACATGGCATAGTTATAACCGAGTAACTTGGAGGCAGATAGGCTTGGTCTGGTAGCGAAAGCCTTGTCATGGACGGTTAAAATCTCTTTAGCCATTTCCGAATTACCCACCACCAAAGCTTTATGGGACCCTAGTCTAAGACTAAACACGGGTCCATACTTTTGAGACAAGGCATACAGTGTACGGTAAAGTATTTCCTTGCTGCTAAAGAGGTGGAGGTGGCCGATAACCGGCCAAGCGCCACCAGCTTCAGGCACACCGCCGCTCTTCGGCCTGGAACCGATAAGTTTCTTTGAGAAAACATAGATGAGCAGAGTTACAAGGGTAGCAACCACAATGGTGGGGAACTGGAAAAGGGTATAATCCATATCCTGAACCAGTCGTATACTAATTGCAGGAATGGATCAAAATTGAAGAGAGGTAAAATGGTTGGTGTTTGCTTAATTTCAGTACTCGTCTATGCATATATAGGCGTGAGAGAGACATTAGTTTTTGGATTTATTTATTGGTCAAAGACGGCTCTTATTTAAAACATTATATAATTTCAGTCAAATTGAGCTCATTTTGATTTCAGCTTTTTTTCCCCAAAGGTTTTGAATTTTCAATATAATTTACATTGATTGTTGTGAAAATTCATGTGCTGCCAGTAGCGTAAATATCTAAATTAATTAAATGTACAAAATTTTAAATTAATCTAGTATATCAGATAAAATAAAATTTAGAATTATATAAATATTTTTTTATAATATATGATGAATTGAATATTAGTGATTATATAAAAATAAATTAAGATTCACGTATAAATAAACTTTATATTAGAATTCACGTATAATATTTATATACCATGAAACTTTAAGCAACCCAAAATCTAAACATTTGTCCCTTTTCTTACAATAATATATTAACTTAAAAGAAAATATTTTAATAAATATCGTAAATATTAAGATTTTAATAAAATTATAATCTCATAGTCATATATACAACGATTAATTATGCATAAATAATATCAATATTAAGTAAGATGATTAAGTGTGTTTGAAATTAAGACAATGACCAACTTTTGACATTTCAAGTGTGTTTGGCTGGGTTAGTCAAGTTGAGGCCCCTGCCATATATTCTTCCGTCAAATGTAGCTCTTTCGTTAATTGACTAACCTATAGATTTGTATTCAACTCTTCTGTACCCTGCTTCTTCAATATTTTTCAATTTTGGAGACTCTATATTTATTCGTATGGTCAATAATTATCAACTTTTTTAAAATGAAAAAGGAAGGAAAGAAAAAATGTGCGGGACTGAATTATCATTTTTTTAATAATATGAGGGGATTATAAAGTAATTTTTGTTTATAATATTTCTAAACCATAGATATTGCGTACACAACCTACAAACGTAACTGTTTGACCTAATATTTAGATAATAACATTCTGTTTAATCATTTAGTCCACGGTTCAACACAGTTGGATTTGAATATTATTGTCCAAATTATACATGTATATATAAATAATTGAGGCTTTAATCTTATTTAGGAACCAAGATTACTTAATAATCTTTTAATTCCATATTTGGTGTCGCATAATTTATTTTCATGCCAACTTAATTTATTTATTTTTGGAAAGAGTCAACTTAATTTAACATTTATAAAAAAACAAACGACACTTTCAGTGCATTTATAGATCGCTGCATCATATAAATGTTGGGGGGGACCTACAAATAGGGTTCATCTTTCTTCTTCATTTAAAATGTCTTTTTTTTCTTCTTCAAGAATTCTAATTAATAAAATATAAAGATTAGAAAGTTTATTTTACATGTTCTTGCAAATTATGTAAATTTGTGATGAATAAACTTATAACACAAATATAATACAAGAACATCTTTTTTTGAAAGAAAAGAGCATAATGCAAGATGAGTATATAGATATGTTAAAATTTAGGCTTACTGAAAAAATAAGTGTCTAAACTATATTCTAAGTTAACTTTAGGTGATTAAAGATTTTTTTTTGTTGAAAGTAGACGTTTAAAGTTTCCAAGCGACACTTTTAGGAACATAGACTATAATGACCGTTAAGTGATATGTGTTAGGTTTATAAAATTTCAAAAGTTTTATTTTAAAATAAAAAATTTAAACTTCAAATTTATTTAAAAAAATTCATTTTTTCTTAAATTTCAAAAGAACCCAAAACAGCTATGTCCAAACTCCTTTACCCACGTTGGTTGCTGGCAATGTTGCCCTGGTCGTCGTTCTTTGTCATCGGGTACTTCATTTAATCGGAGTCCAATGCACACAGGAGGAATCGTCACTTGAATCGTCGAAATCGCTACATGTCGTCGAAATCATTTAGTCGTTGTAATCGTGATTTTTTGCTACAATCATCGCGTAAAGCACGGGGTTTGGCCGGTGGAGGTTCGAACAATTGCACGCCACCGGGGTTTTGGCCGGTTGACGGCGTTAGTAGGTACCGACGGTTATAAGGGATTGAGATTAGAATTTTTAGGATTTTGAGTTCATTTTAATAATTTAATAAAATATTAGATTTTTTAAAACAATAATTTTAAGTGTTTTTTAAATAAAGATTTATAAGTATGACAAGTGTAACTTAACAATTTAATTTAACATTAGACAGCTAAAACTGCAATGCCATAAACATTAGACACCTAAAAATGTAATGTCGAAAACATTAATCACCTATTTTTAATGAAAAATTCTTTAGGCATCTAAAGTTAACTTTGAGTATAATTTGGACATTTATTTTTATCTTAAGCTTAAAATTTACATAAAATTTTATATAAATTGATAATAACTTTATTTAAAAGAAATTGATAATACCTTAAATACGTAACGAGGTTAACATCAAGATTAACGTTTTTTTTCCTTTCCTCAATTTCCATTTTAAAAAATTGATAATTAATGCCCATAGTAATAAAATAGTCTCCAAAATTGAAAATTGTTCACGAACAAGAACACAGGTTCAAATAATAGGGTACACAAGAGTTGAATACATTTGCTAGAAGAATGTATCACAGAGGATTGACCTTGAACCAAGACACGGTCAACTAAATGACTTATATCTGTCATTTGATTTCCAAATCAATTATATTTACGTAGTTGATCGTCTTAAACGTGACCACAATATTATAATTTTATTTTAAAAAAATCTTATAGTATTTCATGATACATTTGCCAAGATACAGCGTTTAGCGGAGCTATGTTTCATCCTTTTCGGCCTTGTAAATAACTACATTAAATAACAATTCACAGCCCTTTAAATCACTCATCTCAAAGACGCAGACATCACCCGTTTCCAAGTTATTATCTTCTACAAAAGGCTTCCAACCATCAATCAATTTGGCTCTCGGGTTTGATTCTGCTGCTTCACGACGATACTTTGTCAACCAAGTCTTCCCATTTGGCGGCACGCAGAGGATTATATCACCACTCTCATTTGTCAAGTATTTCCTGGAAAAGTGCAGTGGTATTGCCTGCCAAGAAACATAAGGGGGGAAATTAGTAAATTACAATCTAGAGCCTTAATTTTCTGTTTTTCTAATGAATACTTACCAATCTATACTCGTTACAAACATAGGATGGCATGGTAATGGTGAAAAATGGGTTCCGAGACTTGAAACCACATGCTCTTTGAAGAGCTTTAAGTGTTCCACTAGCTTGCGACCGATGCAATTTCCCCTTTGTATGGTCAGCTCGTGGGTCTCTTGGCTTTGTTGATGTGGCTGCAAAGGCAAAAGGCCATTAATACTGCAATGTATAAGGTTTAAGCTCAATTCATAGTTAAACTAACAACAAATCTTACGTTACATTTAAGGATGGTAATTTGTAATTAAAAATTCAGGTTCTCCAGCTTAATCTCAGTTTTATAAGGTATAACAATATGTAATTCATGAATTTGTGTGGAGTCTTGTCATCATCTCGTTTAAATTATTTTGTATTCCTATAATTTTTTACAAGTTAATAATTAACATTATATAAATTTTGACATGTTCATATATCCTAATTGTGTTTTGAGGACATTGGAGATAAACTTACTACGTTTGACTTCCTCTTCAGTTTCTTGATATCCTATGGCAGTGAATTGGGCAGCAGGTATAGAATTTACAGCACAATTGCCAATAACAGCAGTAGCTTCAATTTTTGGTACCAAGCAATCTTTAGATGAAACTTGACTGGCTCCATCATCAACAGCTGAATAATTTGAGAAATATACGAATCAATAAAGAATTTTACATGTTTGTGTATTTGAATAGTGTTTGTGCTTCTTTTTCTTGTCGTGTTTTGTATCTTGTTGTTTGTTATTTGTTTTATATACGTCACATCTAATATTGCAAGATTTAAAGAGAGGAAATTGCAGATATACTTACTAGGATTGACTTGCTCCCGATTTTCTTGGTATCCTGTGGCAGTGAGTTGGGCAGTAGGACTAGAATTTCCAGCAGAACAATTGCCAAAATCACCATCTTCAATTTTTGGTACCAAGCGACCTTTTTGACTGGCTTTAGCATAATCAGCTGAATATATCGGAAAAAATAATATCGTAATCAATAAGAATTTTGACATGTTCGTATATTTGAATCATGCTCAAGCTTCTTTTTCTTGTTGTGTTGAGTTTTGCACCTTATTGTTAGTTATTTTTTTCTAAATATTCTCTGTTGTATCTAGTATTGTCAGGTTTAAAGTGAGGTCATTGCAGATGTACTTACTAGGACTGATTTCCTCTTGATTTTCTTGATATCCTATGGTGGTGACTTGGGCAGCAGGGGTAGAATTTCCAGCAGAACCGCCAAAATCATCAGCTTCAATTTTCGGTACCAAGCAACCTTTGGATGCAACTTGACTGCCTTTAGCAGCGTCAGCTTAATATCGACAAATATACTAAGCAATACAGATTTTGACATATTAATGTATTTGAATCATGCCCGTGCTTATTTTTCTTGTCTCATTGTGTTTTGTATCCTATTGTTAGTTTTATTTTTCATATTTTGTTCGTGTTGTATCTAGTATTGTCAGCTTTAAAGGACATAGCAGATATACTTACTAGGATTGACTTCCCCTTGATTTTCTTGATACACTATTGTAGTAAGTTGGGCAGCAGGACTATGCTTTTCAGCAGAACAATTGCCAAAATCACCATCAGCTTCAATTGGTACCAAGCAACCTTTAGATGCAACTTGACTGGCTTCAGAATCATTAGCTGAATATAAAAGAAAAGTTACTAATCAATACACAATTTAATATGTTTGTTAATTTGAATCATGCTTGTGCTTCTTTTTTCTAATTGCATTGTGTTTTATTTCTAGTCGGTTATTTTTTTAATATCTTGTTCATGTTGTATCTAGTATTGTCAGGTTTAAAGTGAGGACTGTAGAAACTTTAGATGCAACTTGACTGGCTTCAGCATCATTAGCTGAATATAAAAGAAAATTTACTAATCAATACACAATTTCTGTTGGCTCAATTGAAGGCGATTAGAGAAGGCACCGGGTTCTTCTTTTCCTCTATTTGGGCAGCTAAGGGTAGATTGATAGTGGAAAGTGACTGTAAAATTGTAGTGGATTGGATAAATTTGTCTACTCTTATCCCTAACTGTTTTATCAATCTAGTTAAGGAAATAGAGACCCTTGTAAAGTTTAGGGAGATAATCCTTAGGCTGATCCCTAGATGTTAGCTGGGAGGCTGATAAATTAGCTAAAGAAGGGATTGGGTGAATTATAGGGCTCTTCTGGGTGCTCTAATTGTATTTAGAGGGTTGTAGTTTTGGTAATGTACAAGGAATGTTGTCTTTCTTTGCGATATTAATAAAATTGAGGTACTCTTTTCCTCTTTCCGCTAGTTGATCCTTTCCCTTGTGGTATGGGACAACTATGAAGGGTTTTTTTAATGAGACCTCTTCTATAAAAAAAAGGGTTTAAAGCGAGGACATTGCAGAAATACTTACTATGGTTGACTTCCTCTTGATTTTCTTGATATCCTATTGACGCAGAAGCCGGATCTTGAAATTCAGCTTCTGGGGTCGCGGTGCATGCATCACCTATGGTAATGAGTTGGCCAGCAGGGCTAGAATTTCCAGCAGAGCAATTGCCTAAATCATCATCAGCTTCAATTCTCTGTACCAAGCAATTTTTGGATGCAACTTGGGAGGCCTTAGCATCATCAGCTGAATATATAGAAAAATATACTAATCAATACAATTTTTTACAAGTTTGTGTATTCGAATTGTGCTCGTGGTTCTTTTTTGTGTCATGTTTTATATCTTATGTTAGTTATTTTTTTCATATCTTATTTGTGCCGTATCTAATATTGTCAAATCGAGGACATTGCAGATATACTTACAAGGATTGTCTTCCTCTTGATTTTCTTGACATCCTATGGTAGCGGGTTGGGCAGAAGGGCTAGAATTTCCAGCAGAACAATCGCCAATATCATCATCAGCTTCAGTTCTAGGTACCGAGCAATTTTTGGATGCAACTTGACTGGCTTTAGCATCATAAACTGAATATATTGAAAAATATATTAAATATTATAGATTAAATCTGTCATCAGTTTAACAAAAAATCAAGTAGATTCATGCTAACCTTGTAGTAACATAGAAAAATTAGCTCCCGGTGATGCTGAAAAAATGGAGACCTTGAATGAATTTTCATGGCGGTTAATCAGCTCAAAGACGCATACATCACCTACTTCCAAGTTATTATCCTGTGCAAAAGTCCTCCAATTAGAGAATTCAGCTTTATGTTGTCCACCGGTGACTACTTTAACAGCAAACTTGACAATCCAAGTTCTCCCATCGGCAACTTGAAGGACAGCTTCATCCTTCTCTTCATCAAGATATCTCTTCACAAATTTGTATGGTACACTCTGGTGGAAGGCAAGAAATAAAATAACTGAGAAGAAAATATTCACATGATATTACTAGGATTTTTCAATTTTTTTCAAGAGCACCAGTAATTTACTCATGTATCAAACGCATATTCTAACATAACTATAATCTTCTAAAAACTTTGATACCTATTTAGTGCTTAAAAAATAATCATGCAACCGATCTATGTTATTTGAAGAAGTGGTCTGAAACTTTCCTAGTAGAAATCTTACCAGGCTACATCTAACCGTCAGGTATCTGTGTTGCATTACAACCTTGAAAAAAGGGTTTTTAGATTTAAAACCACTAGCTCTTTGAATTGCTACTGCTTTCTCATTGGGCGTCATTGGTCGCTTCAAGCTATGATGCTTAGACTCCGTGCTTCCTAGTGTTGATGAACTTACAGTACCACCATCTTCCAGAGAGTTGATTCCATCTGAAGAGTATCAACAAGAGAGTATATTCAAACCTTGATGTGGCATATGGTAACTGAATGCTTATTCGTTTGGGGAAAAAAACATATAAATAAGCCCAAAATGAGAAAGTCGGAAAAAATATGCAAGTTCTTTGATCAAAAAAGGACAATGAATTTAGCAGATTATTCCTCACCCAATGGGGAAGAACCACTTGTGTCTTCATGAACACGGTAAATAATTACTTTCAACTTTATTTCTGTTTGGGAAATCAGCTCAAAGACACAAACATCACCAGCTTCCAAATTGTTGTCCTGCATGAATGGATTCCAACCAATATGGATGATTGCTTTTGTGTACTTGTTTTTGCTTATGTAACGCAGGTAATGAGCAGACCATGTTTTCCCATCTGATGTGCAAAGGGTTAAATCACCAATATTTTCTTTCAGGAACTTCAAAGTAAAGTCCTTTGGTATGCACTGTGATCATAAAAAAGAAAAAGCTCAACATGCAAGAAGAAATATGCTCATAATTTAACTCAACTTTACATATTATCCACAAATGCAAAACATTATCAAAATCTTATGGTACTCAGGTTTCATTGCAGATTTTTACCATTTTTCGACCAGGATTAATGTATGAAGGCTGCATTGTAACTAGAAAAAATGGATTCTCTGATTTGAAGGCACTGGCTCTTAGAAGAGCTTTAGCATATAATTCGCTGGCTCCAAATGCAAGTGCATCTCCAGGAACCTTGGTATGCAGGTCTTCTTCACCATTAGACAAATCTTCACAACCACTTTCATCTGAAAGAGTTCATCCACAGAAGATCAGCGCAATGAAGGATCATAAAATAGCCAGATTTAGTAATATAAAAACTCTGCACATACTTTTATCGTATTTACTGGTTTTCTGTTTCTTCCGAGGTTTAGAACATGATTCTCGTGATTGCTTCTTCCTAGTTTCCTTGCATGGAGGAGGCTTATGCAAGAGTTCATCCCTAGGATCATCTTTAGCTCCAAATGCAAGTGCATCTCCAGAAACCTCGGTGTGCATGTCTTCTTCAGCGATAGAAAAATCTTCACAAATGTTTTCATCTGAAAGTGTTCTCCCACAGAAGATCAACACAATGAAGGATCATAAAATAGCCAGATTTAGTAACATAAGAACTGTACTTACTTTTGTCTTTTTTATTGGTTTGCTGTTTCTTCCGAGGTTTAGAACATGATGGTTGTGATCTCTTCCTCCTAGTTTCCTTGCTTGGAGGAGTCTTATGCGTGATTTCACCACAAGTATCATCTTTAGGTTCTTCCTTGACAGGCTTTAGGCACGCTTGTTCTCCACTCTTGTGTTCAATGTGACTCTTGCATGGATATTCAATCTCTGATGCACTCATATCAAATATGAGTACCAGAAACTTGTCATTCCCTTCATATTGAAAACCAAGAAATGCCCATTTCTGAGAGAGTAAAACGCAACAAATTCTTCCCATCCATTTTGCAACCAAACAACACCATCAGATTTTGTCAGCTTAACATGCCATGTATCACCACTTGGAACTGTTAATACCACTGAACTCGATAACCCGTTTCCATATTTTTTCACAAATTTTCTAGGAATCCCCTGTTAGAAAATAAGCAATTCTCATACAATTAGTGAGAAAGCACAAAATTTGAAAACCAATAATAAGAAATATTAGAGGGGAGAGAATAATGCTTACAAGCTTCTTATCTCGAATAGTGTCCTCTAAAACGATCTTGAAGAAATGGGGTGTTTTTGGTGTAAACATGGAATCGTTATTCTGCTTCTGCATGTAACAATTAGCAAGAAGTCATCAGCGCAAAGGTCAGTAACTGTTTGGTGTGTTCCTAAATTAATTCCCAGATACCAAGTACCAAGACATGCTTCTTAACTTATCATTGAAGAGAAATTGTTTCAAAAAGTTTTTCTTTTTAAGTTTACTTTTAACTGAATTGAAAAAAAAAAACCTAATTCATTGATTGCATGCTTCTTTTCCTTAAAAGTATGCACACCATCTATTTCAGCTGTCATCTGAATATGTACGTAAATAATAAATTACGATAAACAAGTATGATAATAAATTGTAAAGAGTGATTCAAGTACAAAACATATAATCTTCTTATGATCTTGATGAATACTCAAATAATGATACTAAGGAGTTTAATTTTTTCTTACTGTTAAATGTATAATTAATCATGGATTATAAAATTAAAGAAAATCTTCTTGAATACGTTACAAAAAGAGGGGAAAACCCTAAAACCTTTTTTATTTGAATTTGTAGTTTTTATCCAGAAGTCAAAACTTAATACACACTTTAACAACACTGATTCAAATTACCACTGGGGGGGGGGTCGCGGTAGGCTTCTAACAGCGAATGATCTTTCTTTTCTTTTCTTTTTTGTTCAGAACTAACAACGAATGATCAGTTGAACTAAGAGCATTAATCTAAAACAATGAGCGCATTAATCCAATGTTCAATTCAAAAATTTCTCAAGAACAAAAAGAAGAAATATATAGTAAATAATTCAAACATTATGACAGTGGCTGGTGTGGGTGGAATTTGTATACTAGTTTAGGTAAAAGAAAATTTCAATCGCAGAAGATCACACTAAAGTCTGAAGCTATTCCGAAGCTACAAATTCTATAATGTAAAGTTCGAAGTTAGAAGTTAAAACTGACCCAAGGCATCCCAAAATTGATCTTCGATATGCCACTTGAGAACAAAGAATCGCTGGGTTTTGGGTGTTGAGATCTTCCAGGGAGAGGAATGAAGGATTCGAAGCTTGATCGATTTCGAGTGCACATGTGGCTAGGTTTTTTTTCCCCTTTAATTTGCGTGGTAACCGTTTTCTTTTGACGTATTATTTTTGTTTTCCCTTTAAATAATCTCTACAAATTGTAATCCGTCTTGGATTTTAAATGTAATTTATTTTTTAAAATTATTTTAATGTCATAAAATAAAAATTATACTTATTTTATAATTTAATCCCCAGTAAGATAGGTTTTTATACTTTAACCCCAAATATTTTCCATCCTTAAATGGATACCATCAAAATACAAAGTTCCTATTATAGTAAGTAATTTCCAACTCGCGCAGAATGACGACTTCCAACAAGTTGTCGTTGTCCTTGATATGTTGAAAGATACACACATCTCCCTCCTTCAATTCATTGGCCATCACAAATGCTTCCCAGCTACTACGGCCAAACACGGCTTTTCTACGTTCATCGGTTGTTATTCTTCCGTACTCAACTGTCCAAGTCCTACCATCTGGAAGGATGATTTCTCCACTGTTCTTTAAATATCTATCGGCAAATTCGTCCGGTATGATCTGCCAAAGAAGTGAAGATCCTAATTAAGAATGGAGATAGTTTCAGTTCTTGATCAGCAATGTATGTTCATACGGTACAAGTCCTTCTCGGTTCGTCATTGCTATAATCCGAATCCGACGAAGTTTACGACCTTGACACTCTTGGTTCATTTGGGGAATGATAGAAAAGCCATTTGCAAGACTTGGATTAAGTAATGGAATGAAGAGAGGATTCAGCAGAAATCTCACCAGATGAGTACAAGAATTAACATATGCTGTGTGCATCACAACACTGAAAGAGGGATTTGAAGTTCTGAAATTACTAGCACCCATACATGCTCTTTGTTTCTCAGTTGGAGTCAATGGGGATTTCAGTTTCTTCTTTGTTTTCTGGTTTAGTGGAGAGTCATCCAAGATTTCAATGTAGGCGTCTGTTGGATCTTTGAATTTTCTGGAGCTGGAGGGACATGGACTTTGTTGACAAGTAGGTTTAGTATCACTGACCATGCGCCTAGTTTTAACTCGATTGGCTGTACTCCCATGAGCTGTTGTAATGAAAACAAGAAAAAAAACATCTCCATGGATGGTCACATAAACAAATTGATCATCGAATCAATATGAAACAAGCTTTACTCACTCCATTGTCTGCAGGACTTGCTTGCATAGATGATCATTTTCATCAACATTTCAGGGTGCTTAATTAGCTCAAAAACACATATGTCACCAATATCAAGATGATTATCTTCTGCAAATTCTCTCCAACCACTATAGAGTTCTGCTTGTGTTTTATTTCCTGAATTCCTATAGTACTTCGTAGTCCAAGTTTTCCCAGTTGAGTTGCATAAGGTCAGATTACCCTTATGCATTGTTAAAAATTCCCTAGCAAAGTCCGATGGTATGACCTGGAATTCAAGAAGGGAAAAGAAAACATTATAATAAAGTGCCAATTTTGTGATTTTAAGCTACTTGGAGTCACCGGATGATTTAGAGATTAGCCATGTTCCAGTTTTAAAAAGTTACCATTCTATATCTGTTGCAAACGAATGATGGTCGCATGAACACCATGAAAACTGGATTTCCAGTACTTTTGAGAGCATTGGCTATCTGAACAGCGTGTTCCTTTTCAGTGGCTGTCAAATGTCGCAAAGAAATGAAAGCCTCGATTTTCACACTTCTCTCAGCTGTAATTACAGAAGGAAAAATGAAAAGAGGATCTCAGAAGTAACCCACTGCCAAAAATGAAATAAAGAAGCATACCTTCAAGTTGTCTCGGTGCATTTTCAACTTCCTTGAGATTTCCAAGATTGATCCTGTTTGACTTCGAATGATTGGAGCTGATACCAGAAGATAAAATCTCTAACTTCGATTTCGTTCCAGGTTGATTAGGTGAATCAGTTCTCATTTTCTTCCGAGGCAAAGGACATGGCGAATTTGATTTCTCTGTACTTTTCGTACTCACTGACACACCGGTAAAAAGGTTGAGAAACAAATCATCATCCTCTTCGTTTCTAGTATATGGACCAATTTATGAAGCACACTTATCAGGATGAAAACCTACTTGCAATATCAGAAACTGAAAGTGTTAGGTATGGCTCATAAATATACCAGTAAAGAGGACAGGAGATGGAGCGGAGTGAGTGAAGCGAACATCAACTGTCCGTACAAAGAAAGTCTCGTTGTGGGGTTACGAATTATGTGGGTTGGGGGTGCAGGGGCTGCGCCCCCGCGGTACGGTACAGGGTTAATTTTGTAATTATGTACCAGGGTTTTTATTATAAATAGAGATGTAACCTAGACCTAAAATATCATTGAATAAAAACTTCTAGCGCCGCCTAGGCACCGAGGACGTAAGCACATTGCCGAACCTCGTAAAATTCTCGTGTTCTTTTGTTTTCTTTACCCGTTTTCGTCAACAATTGGTATCAGATGTCAGGAGCAAAATTCGAAGTCGCGAAATTCGATGGTCAGGGTAACTTCGGATTATGGCAAACGAGGGTGAAGGATCTATTGGCGCAGCAAGGGATCTTGAAGGCTTTGCGATCTACAAAGCCGACGTCGATGGATGAGGAAGATTGGGAAGAATTGCAGCAGCGAGCGGCAGGAACCATATATTATGCTTGGCGGACGAGGTCATGTATCACGTCATGCATCTATCGTCTCCAGACGAAATTTGGAGGAAGTTGGAAAGTCAGTTTATGTCCAAATCCTTAACGACAAAACTGTATCTGAAGCAGCGGCTGTATGGGCTGAAGATGCAGGACGATCACGATTTGGCGCAACACGTGAATGTCTTCAATCAAATCGTTTCTGATCTGGCTCGGCTTGATGTGAAAATTGAGGATGAAGACAGAGCGATGATTCTGTTGTGTTCGTTGCCTCCCTCTTACGAACACATGGTGACTACTCTTACATATGGGAAAGAGACTATCAATGTTGAGGAGATTACTGCAGCCTTGTTGGCTCACAACCAGCGGAAGCAGAATGCAGGGGAAAGCTCTCAAGCCGATAGCTTATATGTCAAGGGTAATCGAGATCGTGGACGGAAGCCAGAGAAGGCAGGGTCCGGGAAGCGGAATTCCAGATCCAAATCCAGGGATAAGAAGACGATTCACTGTTACAAGTGCAAGGAGGCGGGACATATGAAGCGAGACTGTCCGAAGTTGAAAAAGCAGACTGATGAGAAGCGTGATGGCTCATCCAAGTCTGTGAACGTGGTCGAGGATGATAATTCTGATTGCAGTGAGGGTGATATGCTTTCTATTTCAACGACACAATTGACGGATGCTTGGATTCTTGATTCTGGATGTTCTTATCACATCACGCCAAATAGGGAATGGTTTTCGACATACAGGCCGGTTAATTCTGGTTCGGTTTATTTGGGTGATGATCGATGTTGCAATATTGTTGGTATTGGTGATGTCAGAATTAAGATGCACGATGGCTCCGTTCGGACGTTGAGTGGTGTTCGACATATCCCAGACTTGAAGAAGAATTTGATTTCCTTGGGCACTTTGCACAAGAATGGTTTTATCCCTAAGGCTGACGAGGATAGGGAAACCATTCGGATTGTTAAAGGAGCATTGACTGTGATGAAAGGCAAGATGACTGCAGGGAATATCTACAGATTGTTAGGGAGTACCGTTGCAGGTGGAGTTCACTCTGTTGAGTCCTGTGATGATACGACAAAATTGTGGCATATGCGTCTTGCTCATCTTAGTGAACGTGGTATGGCAGAATTACACAAGAGAAACTTGTTGCATGGTGTCAAAAGCTGTAAGCTCGACTTTTGCAAGTATTGTGTTCTTGGTAAACAGACTAAAGTCCGTTTCAAGACTGCGAAGCACACAACTCAAGGGATTCTTGATTATGTGCATTCTGATGTATGGGGGCCTTCCACGATATCGTCTTTGGGTGGATCTAGGTACTATGTTACTTTATTGATGATTTTTCACGGAAAGTTTGGGTGTATTTTTGAAACAGAAATCTGAAGTTTTTGAGAAGTTCAAGCTGTGGAAAGCTGAGGTAGAAAACCAAACAGGACGAAAAATCAAGTGTTTGCGGTCTGACAATGGTACGGAGTACACAGATTCACAGTTCCTACAATTCTGTAAGGAGCATGGGATTCAGAGGCATTTACAGTGCGCAAGACACCACAACAGAATGGTGTTGCGGAACGAATGAACAGGTCGTTGAATGAAAGAGCCAGATGTTTGCGGTTGAATGCGGGGCTTCCCAAACACTTCTGGGCTGAGGCTGTTAACATGGCGTGTTACCTTATCAACAGATCGCCAAGGGCATCGCTGGTTGGGAAAGTTGCAGAAGAGGTATGGACTGGTCATGATGTTAGTTTGATAACTTACGGATTTTTGGTTGTCCTGCTTATGTGCATGTACCTGCTGATGAGAGATCCAAACTTGATGCAAAATCGAAGGAGTGCATTTTTCTTGGTTACAAGAAAGGTGTCAAAGGATTCAAGTTCTGGGATCCAGTTGCGAAGAAAGTTGTGATTAGTAGAGATGTCGTTTTTGATGAACAATCCATGTTGCAGCAGAAGCAAGACACGACAGTGGTGGATTTCGAGCAGTTTCCAGTTGAGAAACCAGAAACTTCTCAACCGACTTATGGTGGTTCCACTACGGATGATTTACAGGATTATAGTCTCGCCAGAGACAGGGTGAGACGGACGAATATAAAGCCTCCGAACAGATTGGGTTTTGAAGACTTGGTATCTTTTGCACTTATTGTTAGCAGTGATGATCCGGTTACTTTTCATGATGCCGTTACTAGTCAAGAAAACGACAAGTGGATGGCAGCCATGGTTGAGGAGATGGAGTCTTTGAATCACAATCGCACATGGGAGTTAGTTCCCCTTCCTGAGGGTAAGAAGCCGATTGGTTGCAAATGGGTGTATAAGAAGAAACCAGTAGTAACAGAGAAAGAGGGGGAGAAGTTCAAGGCTCGTTTGGTAGCGAAGGGTTTTTCACAGCAGAAAGGAGTTGATTATGATGAAATCTTTTCTCCTGTGGTCAGGCACACTTCAATCCGAGCAGTACTTGCATTGGTGGCTAGTTGGGATTTGCATTTAGAGCAGATGGATGTTAAAACTGCTTTTTTGCATGGTGATTTAGAGGAGCAGATCTACATGCGGCAACCTGAATGTTTCACTCAACCTGGAAACGAGCATTTAGTTTGCGGATTGAAGAAATCTTTGTACGGGTTGAAACAGTCTCCGAGACAGTGGTATAAACGGTTTGACTCCTATATGATCAAGATTGGCTACAACCGATGTGAGTATGATTATTGTGTCTATGTTAAGAGCCTTGATGATGGTTCTTTTATTTTTCTATTACTGTATGTTGATGATATGTTGATTGCTGCGAAGAACATGGATAATGTTATCGGTTTGAAAACTTTATTGAGTCAGGAATTTGATATGAAAGATTTAGGTGCTGCAAAGAAAATTCTTGGAATGGAAATTTGCAGGGACAGAGACTCAAGGAAACTGCGGCTATCTCAACGGGGTTATGTTGAGAAAATACTAGAAAGGTTTGCGATGAGCAGCGCAAAACCAGTTAGCACTCCATTGGCGAATCACTTTAAGCTCTCATCAGAACAGTGCCCCAAGACAGATAAGGAAGCTGAAGATATGGCAAAGGTTCCGTATTCTAATGCTGTTGGCTGCTTGATGTATGCGATGGTATGTACTCGTCCTGATTTAGCTCATGCTGTTAGTCAAGTTTGTAAGTACATGTCTAAACCTGGTAAGCAACATTGGGAAGCAGTCAAGTGGATCTTTCGGTACTTAAAGGGTACTGTGGGACATGGAATTGTTTTTGGGAGTCAGCGGGATAATCCTTTGGTTGTAGGATATGTGGATTCAGACTATGCAGGTGACTTGGATAATAGAATATCTACGACAGGGTATGTCTTTACTCTTGGTGGAGGGCCTATTTGTTGGAAGTCTACTGTTCAATCTATTGTGGCTCTATCTACAACTGAAGCTGAGTACATGGCAGCGGCTGAAGCTGCAAAAGAAGCTTTATGGCTTACTGGTTTAGTGAAGGAGTTGGGTGTTCAACAAGGTGGAGTTCAGTTGCTTTGTGATAATCAAAGTGCTATTCACTTGGCTAAGAATCAAGTGTATCGTGCTAGAACTAAACATATTGATGTAAGGTTCCACAAGATCAGAGAGTTGGTTGCATCTGGAGAGGTTTTGTTTCAGAAGGTACATACTGATGAAAATGCCGTTGATATGTTCACTAAGCCAGTTACGACAGACAAGTTCAAGCATTGCTTGGACTTGTTGAATGTTTCGAGTTGTTAAAGAATCAAGGTAACCCAACCCACATTGAATTTTCAAGAGGTAGGATATTCGCCAAGGTGGAGATTTGTTAGGTATGGCTCATAAATACCAGTAAAGAGGACAGGAGATGGAGCGGAGTGAGTGAAGCGAACATCAACTGTCCTTACAAAGAAAGTCTCGTTGTGGGGTTACGAATTATGTGGGTTGGGGGTGCGGGGGCTGCGCCCCCGCGGTACGGTACAGGGTTAATTTTGTAATTATGTACCAGGGTTTTCTATTATAAATAGAGATGTAACCTAGACCTAAATATCATTGAATAAAAACTTCTAGCGCCGCCTAGGCACCGAGGACGTAAGCACATTGCGAACCTCGTAAAATTCTCGTGTTCTTTTGTTTTCTTTACCCGTTTTCGTCAACAGAAAGAATGGTAACTTCCAACAAATTTTCATTTTCCTTGATAAGTTCAAAGACACCGATGTCTCCAACTTTCAAGTCATTTTCCAGCACGAATTCTTTCCAGTTGTTTCTAAGAAATTTGGCTTCTTTTACATTTATTTGTAGTTCATAATCCAAGTCCTCCCATCTGAAACTCTCAGGGTGATTTCCCCACTTCGCTTGAAATATCTCTTGGCAAATTGTTTTGGTATGTTCTGCCGAAGGAAAAGAATGCAAATGAAAACGAATCTTCAGTTCCTAATCTAAGAAGTATATTCAAATAATCTCTTTTCTATTTGGAATAAACAGATGATTCAGTAGAAGTCCTTGACCCAAATTATTACCAGATAATACTTGGTAAGAACATACGATAGATGCATCACAACGGAAAAAGAGGGATTTGCTGATTTGAAATCACTAGTTCGTGTACCAGCTGTTTCTTTCTCAGTTGCAGTCATTGGTTTCATCTTGCTTATAAGGTCAGGTTTTGGACATCCCAAGCACCTGAAATCCCACCATCATCATGTTTTACTAAACATTTGGATTCACCTGTTAAGATCAAAACTTTTAAGACAATAGCTTTGGAAGCAAACCACTGCTTACTCGAACTCAAAAGCATTAATGAAAAAGATTCTCACCCCCAAGTTCTGTTCTTAAATTTTGGAAATCTACTCTCTTCTTATGTTTCTCAAGCTTTGGGTCTTTAAATACACTGGAACTGGAGGGACATTGAGATTGTCGACAATCATGTCGGTATCGCTGACCATGCTCCTAGTTCTAACTCCTCTGCCTATACTCTTATGCGCTGTTACAAAATAAAATGACATGAGACTGTAATATAAAAAACTAATCATTGAATCAATGACCGATGTTACAGGTTCTTCACAAGAATAAGAAATAAAGAATGCATACTATCAACTTGTCCTTTCAAAAGACATGAGTTTTCGTTTCCCTTAAGATTACCAAGCTTAATCTTTCCAGAGTCGGGGCCATCAACGCTAACGTGCGATTTATAGGGTGAGTCAACTCTCATTTTCTTTTGAGGGAGTGGACATGGCAAATCTGGTTTCTTTTTCCTTTTACTACCGCCTGAAACATCACCATTATCATCCTCAGTTCTAGTACAGGCATATTCGATCTCCGAAGCACTCCTATCAAAAATTAGTACATGGAAAATATCATTCCCTTCGTATCGGAAAACCACAAAAGACCCCAACTCCAGTGAGTAATGCTTTGCAATTCTCCCAACCCTTTTGCAACCACACCCTGTTATCATTTTTTGTAAGTTCAACCTGCCATATTGCACCGCTTGGGACCTCAAGCTTAACAGTAGTTGGCAGTTGGTTTCCATATTTTCTTACAAATCTCCTAGGAATCCCCTGGTAATGATCGTATACAGACATGGACGATTAGTGGAATTTCATGAAGGAAACCGATTACGAGGTAGAAGAAGAAGAAGAAATACTTACAAGTATCCGGTTTCGAATAGTGTCCTGAAGAATCACTTTGAAAAAGTGGGGAGTTTTGGACATAAACGTGGAATGATCGTTGTCTCTACGACGAAAAGAAGTCATATTGGAACCCCGTGGAAGAGTAAGTTGAATGGTTTCCTATTAGAACGTAAAATCAGCTGAAAAATATACTAATTTTTCTGATGAAAAATACATATTTCCATAGCAACACAGCATATGGGAATAAGGAGATAAACCTAAAGACTGAAGAAGATGACTCTAAGTTGGTCTCAACAAAGCTGAAAAATATACTGATTGTACAGTGTGTAGCCTTTAAAACTTCTCCTTGACACCAACCAAAATAAATGGTAGATTTATTGATACCCGTTTACAGGGAAGCCGTTATGCAGTAATTGATATGATGATACTGATATAATATCGACAATTATGGTCCAAAACCTTCTAAATTTCACTCGACTTTGGACGGGAACAAATAACTCATTTATGAACATCTCTACCTTTCGCATGAAATATAATATAGCATTAAATAGATACATGATTTAGCTAGAATAGAAGAAAAAAACTAAAATTAATCACTTAATTTGTCTTAGGTATGGATGGACACGGGATTCGGATTCAAGGAATTTGATTCGATTTCATCTTTAGGGTTAGATTTTTCTTTTAAAATCGAGTTTGGATTAATTTTTTTAGGATAGGATCGGGTCGAACCAAGTTTGAGTTTATAGTGAAAGTCTTTGATCCGCGATAATAAATATTGTAACTATTCTTTATATGTTTTGGAATAATTGTAATATCACTTCTCTCTATATATTTTCAATTAGATTAATATTTTATAAATAAAAATAAGAATTATGTATTTGCCTCGGATTGAATCTGATGAGATGGGAGTGTAGATTTTTACCCTAAAATCAAATCAAAATTCGAGTAGAATAAGACATTCTTAAATCTAGATAAGATGATGGTGAAAAGTACACTACTTAAATTTAGTTCAGAGTTCACACAGGCAAAAACTTAATCCTACCAATCTATGCTCATCCCTTGTCTTGGACAGGCCTACAGGGATGAAGCCAAAAATTCATATTGTTGTGCAAGAATTTTAAAAAACAATACACAATATTCTTTTGAAAAACAATAAACTAATTTAAAAAAAATAGTTTATATGCACATCACAGTGTTTTCTGGTATCACACCTTCAAAATAATTCTGCCCCAAATTTAGGACCCCGAGTGAGCAAACCTCCATCACGCAGGCAACCGGCCGCGAAGATTGGCTCTCGGCTCCCACAAAGCCTGCAACTAGAATGGAAAAACTGTTTGAACAGAACACCGAGATCGAAAACTATCCATGTAGCTTGTCTTCTCATCGCAACTTGTATATTCGATTGTTTATAAAACGAAAATTTATTCAAATATTAGTGATCATTTGTGTAGTTACTATTTTTAATTTTATATATTATTGTGTTACATAAACAATACGTTAAAGGTCAAACGGCAATGAACTTTTAGTGACCACATCTAAATTAAATAAAACATAAATGACTAAATATTATGTTTTTTAAATTTAACGAGCAACATTGTACAAAAATTAAACAAAATAATAATCATAGTTTAATCCTTTTCTTTAATATGATTCAGCCACAAGTATTAACTATTAGGTATCAATTTAGAAGAAAAGACTAGTATTACATACAATTTATTATAAAATTGTGATTTAATAAATTTTGAGGTTATTAAACTTTTGTAGAATAATTAAATATATATAGATTTATTTTGTATTTTATGTAATCTTTAAATTAAGAAAAAAATGTAGTCTTTAGACAAATAAATTATTTTTAATCGTTATAACGATAATATGATAGTCTAAGATACTAATATATTGATCCATAGTAAATGATGATTTTAAGAAAGTTTATATACATATAACAAAAAGAAAAAAAGGGGTTGTTAAGGATTAAATCTAAAATTTAAGATCAATTAAGAATAAAAAATATATATACTATTTATAAAAAATAAAATTTTATAATAATTTATTGTGAATTATCAAGAAAGTGCTTAAATAAATATTTATCATATAATATGCAATATAAATACGGTCTGCTAATTAGTGCGCAGGGGGAAAGAAGTAGGCAAACTGCATATTGCATTGCATGATGTGGTTTTTTATGCCTCTGATTCTAAATATAAAACAAAATTACAAAATAATAATAATAATTATTATTATTATAATGGAAGTCATGATTTAGTTAGATCATGAACTTGTTTAGAAATTGATGACAGCTAAGGACAAGTTGGGTGCTTAAAGTGCTCAAACGAATATGTTAAGTTGGTAGAGCACAAGGTTATTTATCTTGAAGTCGTAGAATCGAGTCCTACGGTGAGCAATTCATAATTTGGAGGTCTCCCACGAAAGTTGCTCTCAACCTAACGTTGGGGGCAACCTACTATTCTATCTCCCCCTTACCCCATTATATATGGGAATAAGGGTCAACTAATTTATGTAACACTTTAACCCGTATTCGGGTCGGATACGAATTCGAGATGTTACATCAACTTTTCAAAACATGTTCTAAATTTAATTCTAACACTTCATACTTTTCAATTATCTTAATGACAAGTCAAATATCACTTCCAATTCTAATCAATACTTCTCTATCAAGATTTCACTTTTCCAATTCCTTTCTTTAATACTTCATATACCTTTCATCTTGTTGTTTTAAGATAAATTAAATTTTTCTTAAATTTAATTATTGTCTAATGATTATAAATCAATCTTAAATTTAACAATAAATTAACTAATAAAGAAACTCACCTTTACTCTCGATACCCACGACGAAGAAGAACACTCTTGAAGCTTTGATATTTTCTTCCTTCAATCTATGTGTATTTAACATACCCAATACCATTTTTTTAATTCTTTTAATAATCAAATTACCATTTGTCCTTCCATTCTTTCTCTATCATTTAATCTTACACGAAGAATTACAATTAAATCCCTGAACGTTTTACTTATTTCAAAATTGAGCAGTAAGTTTCTAAAATTTATATTTTAGTCATTGACCCGGTTATTTGGATTTACAATTTTTTTCCATTATTTCATATTTGGATTTATTGAAACATTACCAAAAATCACCAAAGCTACACCTCACCCTCAACATTCTCAATTCGTTTCATTGATATAAAAATAATCAGAGAAAAATATTTAATCAGTACCTTTAAGCGTTGACCATAAATAATAGAGAAAATCGCCTCAGTGACCAAAAATGCCTTATAATATACGATTTTAACCAACTTTTTTTGATTTGCCAAAATGACCAACAAAATCGCAACGCGATATCAAAACCGCAACGCGATTTAGAAAAGCGCAACGTTGAAAAGAAGATCGCAACGCGATCTTCCAAGAATCGCAATGCGATTCATAAAATCGCAACGCGATCTTCCAAGAATCGCAACGCGATTCAGAAAATCGCAACGCGATCTTCCAAGAATCGCAACGCGATTAAGAAAATCGCAACGCGATTCCAAGAATCGCAACGCGATTCAGAAAATCGCAACGCGATTCCAAGAATCGCAACGCGATCTTCCAAGAATCGCAACGCGATAAGAAAATCGCAACGCGATTAAGAAAATCGCAACGCTTCCAAGAATCGCAACGCGATTAAGAAAATCGCAACGCGATTCCAAGAATCGCAACGCGATTCAAGAATCGCAACGCGATCTTCCAAGAATCGCAACGCGATCTTCCAAGAATCGCAACGCGATTAAGAAAATCGCAACGCGATCTTCCAAGAATCGCAACGCGATAAGAAAATCGCAACGCGATCTTCCAAGAATCGCAACGCGATCTTCCAAGAATCGCAACGCGATTAAGAAAGAAACGCACGCGATTCAGAAAATGAGTAAATTCTTTCAAAAGTTGTTGCATGGACGTGTCGAAGACACGTATTACTATTACCACGACCACGACCACGACCACGACCACGACCACGACCACGACCACGACCACGACCACGACCACGACCACGACCACGACCACGACCCCGACCGACCGACCCGAGACGAGACGGCGGCGGCGGCGGCGCGCGAGAGTCCCCTTGTTCTCTTTCACTCAACAAGGAAATGGGAAATCCAAGCCTTAAATACACTTCCCAATAGTGTTTCCAATACTATGTGGGATTGAGCATTACTCAACACTTCAAAGAAAATATAGCAATTTTTGTAGCATGTTTCCCGCTTAATCCATATTTAAAAATATTAAAACATTTATCATATTAAAACTATATGTATAAGTTTGAATTGAAATGTAGATATCTACAACTCTTTTAATTCTCTGATAAATGTTTTATATTTTTAGATATGGATTAAGTGGGAAAATACTACAAAAATGCTATATTTCTTTGAAGTGTTGAGTAATGCTCAACATAGTATTGGAAACACTATTGGGAAGTGTATTTAAGGCTTGGATTTCCCATTTCCTTGTTGAGTGAAAGAGAACAAGGGGGACTCTCGCGCGCCGCCGCCGCCGCCGTCTCGTCTCGGGTCGGGTCGTGGTCGTGGTCGTGGTC